CCACGACCACGACCACGACCACGACCACGACCACCACCACCACCACCACGACCACCACCACCACCACCACCACCACCACCACCACCACCACCACCACCACCACCACCACCACCGTGGTTACCGACTGCAGCATCACTACAGCAGCAGGCGTCACGCCCAAGTAGTTCTTGAAAACCTTGCGCAGCACCTTCTGAGGACAAGTAGTTATGATCTTTGGAGTCGCCCGAAGAGATCGGTTCTGAAGCGCTAACAAAGAATTCTGCCCTGCCGGCCCTACCTCCCTAAGGGATGCGGGGCTGCAGGTGTGGGTGTGTCATCATCATGGTTACCTGTATCTTTTCATGATTCAGTTCTTCGGGGGGTAGGCAAGGCTTACGAACTTTTCCCTTACAACTGTTGAGGGGGGGAACACTTTTGCACGATTGGTTGGGGCAGCGGTTGCAGCTCCAGTGCAAAGATGCAGGTACAGATGCGGCCATGAGCTAGGGGCCCGTAGAGGGCCCAAAGAAAGGCCTAGCATAGGCTCGCCTTCCAGACGCAGAATACATTGGGGCAAAATGTCATTCTATTTAATGTGGGCTTATGGCGATTATTGTGTCTATACAGTGTCACAGGTTTTCTTGAAGGACTCGGGGATATGCGATGCGGAGTTCCTGTGACATTTGTGGCATTTTTGTGAGGATCTCAGCTAGTTGGGGCAGCAAGTCTCCAGCAACCTCAGCGCTTGGCCCCGACTCCATGATTGACTTAGGGTTTAGGGTTGTTCAGGTTGCAGGATTTCTGATTGTTGGGCTTCGGTACAGCTCCGCGACCAGTGGCACCACAGTTGCCATCTTGCTCACCCAATGCGAACCCCAAACTAAAAAACGAGCTTATGTGAGAGTTTCTGGCAATAACCTCCCTAAACCCTAAACCCAACTACCTGTCCTTGAGCTGCTCGGGCCTGATCGCTCCATGCCTTTGCGGTCCCTTAGGGCACCCTAACTTGAGGAATCCGCTTGTCCGGCAACGGGGTGGTGAGATTTCAGTTGTTGGAGACCTGCACAACTCCACAACCATCTGCTCCAGGGGATTACTCATATGCGTTAAGGCCAGGGTCAATCAAAGTATAGGGTCTAACTATGTAATTAAAGGCTAAACTTTAAGCCCAGGAGTTTGGCATTGAGAGAGCCGGCCATGGATGTCTACGCCTAAACTTCATGAGGACGTGACAGGACGTGTTGTCCGAAAATGTATTCCCACGCGTGTGTTCGGCCGGAGCACGAAGCAACAAAATACCAACATGCAGAATCCCCCTTTACCCACCCAAAAAACAAGTCCCACAAACAGGCTCCAAACCAATAGCAGCAAGTTCTTTCTGAAGTGGTGGCTCAACAAGTGCTCCTTTTTTTAGCCCGGCCTCATTCAAAGTTTAGCGTTGTGAGTCCGAGGTAATACGGGTTGGGGTTTGCGGGCATCCTCCCGTGAACAAAAACAGCATCCCGTACATGATCACACGTTGATCTTTGCATGTCAAAGTCATGTTCTTCGAACCTCTGTCGAAGTATCCATTCACAACGCAAAGCCCGGGCCGTGTCAGAGATAACAATAGGTGTACGAACCTTGACTTCGCATCAGGTGCTGAACCTTTTTGTGACTGTCCTCTCGTGCTATTGCGCACGAAAGAGAATTGTTGGTAGCGTTTTGAAAAATGGCTCGTGCATCATCGTACTGGTAGACGCCTCATCAGTAGCAGTGAGCAACAGTCTGGTTTCTTCCTGCCCCCCCCCCCCCCCCC